CTGGTGTATACTATCGTTAGTATCGACTGCGTTCCGTTATGTACTGCAAGTACTGAAAATTTATATAGTCGCGTTTACGTGTATACTATAGATTTTCAGTACTTACAATTAGTGAAGCCATCATCGTCACACGATCATTCGTTTTGGAGAACGATCGTTTTGATTAATATATGAACGAATGAGAGAAAAGTCTAAATTCCCTATAATCTTGGGTGCTTTCCAAGAAATAGTATAACGAGTACAAAACATGGACGAATAAACTGCGTTTGCAATTTTACGTCTATTGTCAAAAGAGCTCAAATACATCTTGGAGAAGATGTATTTATTAACTGGCTCAATTAAACGCTTCTCCCTTCGATTACAATTCATGTTTATGATATTGGGTGCATCCAGAAGCACGACCGCTCACTGAGCTTTTTTATCTGATTGGCATATTTCATTAGATCTAAAGATATAAACCAAGCAGGACTCGCAAGAGTTCAACGAATTCAACGGTTGAGTCTACTGAACACAGGCTGCGTTCAGCAGACTCAACAGTTTTGCAATCGTTTTATGATTCGTCTCGCTAATTGGATTATTTTAGATCTAAAGGAATAGTTTGCTCATTTTTGTAATTTTCCCTTTGTTTCAAGAGCTCGAAGAATTTCTAGAAATACAATTAATCCCAAGACAATTGATTCATAAACTAAATAATAAAAATCTTATTGGACTAAACATTTGAAAAATTATTTACAGAATAAAGAGATTTCTACTATATTAAAAACTCTTTAATAGATGCTTATTAAACTCTAATCTTGTTTTTGTACATGTTTTATTACACTTATAAATATATAGTCATAAAGACGTCTTTATATACAATATTGCACATTACCAACACCAACAAAATAGTGATCTTAATCATATTTGGTCACAATTATGAGTATAACTTAAGCAATATAAATAATATATACAGGATGATCCGAAATTCGCGCATTCGGAGTACAGAAGATGATACTTTATACTAAAACAAATAACTTTTTCCTGTAGCAAAATTGTATGAATTTTGGATTATCCTGTATATACATATATACAGGGTGTCTTAGACCACCTATCTATCCTTTTTATTTCCACAGGATAAGATCCAATCAAATATATGTTTCGACCACAGTTGTGGGGTTTAAAAGTATCTGTTTATTGATCATATCAGTTTGACATCGGCTATTAGATTCTGGAATAAAAAGTAGAATGTTTCATTTAAAAAAAATCGATATAACCTTGATCTGACCTTGGCAAAGCTACCCAAGGTCGAACTGATATAATTAATAGATATTTTTAAACCCCACAACTTCGATCTGAACATATTTTCGATTGGATCTTATCCTGTGGAGATAAAAAGAATGGACGAGTCTTAGACATCCTGTATATATATCATGTACACCACATAGTCAATAGAATACACGCGTGCACGCACGTATATGTACAATTACCGAGATATACATTCGAGACAAAATTTCAATTGCAATAAATGCATCAAAAATGCAATATTGCAAATTTTTATGCCATTGTTTCATTCATCAAATTCTGTTTTCATCTTCAAGATTTCTTCCTTCCACTTAAAATATTCATTAAAACGTATTGCAGCATATCTGAAAAAACATATAAAAATTCTCTGTAATAATTATTTGACTAAAATATTTCTTTTATCCTCTAAAACTGTAATAACTCTATTATGTAAAAAAAAAAAATAATCTAGATTGTTGAGTAATTACCGTTATTTTTATTAATGTGCATATATATTGTACATGATAGAAATGATAATAGACAGTTATATATTATTGTATGTACATTTCTATTACCTTTCTATTATTGCACCAGATATATATGATACAACATTTGTAAATATCTTTTATTGTTAAATAAAAGCACTTACGCTAAAAAATCAAAATCAATATGCGAATGCTCGCTCTGGATGAGAGCCCAACAGCCCCAAAAAAAATGCGGCAAGGGAGTAAATTTAGTAACTTGCCAGTATAATTTGTCAACGTCTTTCTCAGACACGTTAGTCGTCGCGTTGTATATTTGCAAATATTTTTTTAACCATATTTTTTGAAAATTTTCATCTGGATATAAAGAGTAATCCGGCTCGTCGAAACCTTAAATACGCCAGGTGTTAAAAATTTTATTTAATACACTTTGTAATATATTTTGTTTTGTAATATATTTTATATACGAAAGTAGGTATGTTTTCTAATACACTTGTAAAATATTAAAGAATGCATAATTACCAGCAAATTCTGTAAAGTGGTTAACTATATCAAACGCCTGATAGTTAAACGAAGTGTATTCATAATCGATAAAAACAACACTCTCCTGTCTTTCACTGTACAGTATATTTCCTAGTAGAAGATCATTATGAGCAAATACTACAGGACTATTCACTTCGGAAAGTATACTTTTCAACATGTGATATTCTTTCTCCAATATTACAGAGGATGGTATCAACGTTTCAAACCTTAAAGTAGAAGCTATTACAACAACTAAACTATTTGTATATGATATTCAAATGGAGGATCTATCTATAAGCGCTTACTTTGCTTGCTTGAGAGAATCCGAAAATTTTTTAGGCATAATTTGCATAAATTGCTTCGTTTTTTCCCAAATAAAAGCATTTTTTGATACAGATTCATTTTCAGGCTCAAGATTATGCATTTCAGCCATACGTTTCGCAATTAATGGATATACTTTTGAATCCCTGACTGTTTCAGTAGTTAGAGTTTCACCTTCCAGGAATTCATAGGCAAACCCATTGTTAAATGTAGCATAAATGCAATGAGTATAGCCAGCCTTGTTCAATATCTATATATACATATGTACAAATATTTATTCTGTACATTAGTTATACTATTTAATATTAAAATTTAAATCTGTTATATTTTTCTGTTTATAATACCTATATATGTGTGTGTGTGTGTTAATAAAAAAAATAAATGCATATAAATTACAAAAGTTAAATTAATTATAAATTGAAATATATGAACAGGATGGCACTGTGTATCATAACTGATAAGATCTTTACCCGGATATTTTTTATTTCACTTTTTCGGTCAATCAGTAAATCCGAATTGTTGCCGTAAATTCTAACCAGGATCATATCTGTATAATGTCCCGCATACCATACTCCTATCAACTTATTTGTTCTTCCATCAGTAAATATCTGAAATAGAAAAAAAAAAGATATTCTTTTTCCTAGTTATTTCTATAATGGTAAGGATAATATCTAAAAACTTTTGTTATTTATGTCAATGTTTAAAATCATATGGATATAAGAAAAAGCCAAAAAGTTATTTACTGATATATTTCTTATTATTTATACTTATGAAAACAAAATTAATAAAACTATTCCAAATATGTCTACATTTGCAAGGAAAATAAATCAATTAAACATAAGGCAAATTCTGACAAGAACATTTTAAGAAAAGAATTGAAATTGTAGTAAACATCGAGATAAAAAAATGGTTACTAGTAGATAAAATATATGAATTGATATAAAAACACTGGAAATATAACAATTTATTATACAGAAATTATGTGTTTCGCAGGTTACTCTGTCCAAATTTATTCTTAGAAAATGTCAATGTTTTATGAACATTATAGATTACTTCATGAAGACGAGAGTAGCAATACTGATACACAGAAAGTATCTTTGAAAACATCAGAATACCGATTTATCTTTTAAAAGCAAGAAAAATAAGATATATGATTTGATTTTGAATCAATTATTGTTATCATGGCTCAATTGTTTCTACTGCTTATCATAATAGGATACCTGAGAATCATACCTTGAAATGCAGTTGCTGTAAAGGCCAGGATGGTCTAATCCTCTTTATAATATCTTTAGCACCAACAATAATTTCATTCTCGTCTACTGTGATGTTGAGATGTTCCTCACATAAACTCATAGCTTATTGCTATTGTATAGAATTATAACATATAATTATAACCTACAAGTTTCTTTTACTTATTATTTTAATAATAGAATGCAGATAACATAAATATAATTTAAAAATATATATTCTCAAAAAGATATATATTCTATTTATAACGAATAAATTAAATATAATACAATTTGGATCCACTGGTAATTTTGCTATGAACAAAATATTAAAAAAAAATTGGATGTTATGTATGTATGTACACGTAAAAAGCAAGAAACATTCAATCCTTAGGAATGTTTCACAGCAACTAACGGAAGTCTAGTATATCTATATATATGTATACTTATATAAGCGATAATATACTGACATTATTGATAAACGAGGGGGGCATTATAGTCAATTAGAGAATGACGAAATTAAAAGGAGTGCATATCGAATAATATATCTTAGTTTGAAGATGACATTCTTGATCAAAAAGATTATATTATAGTTTACTTACATATAAAAATTACGTATTAACTTGCTTTGTTAAATTGTTCATAAAAGTCTCTAAGATGTAAAGAGGTACAGAAATTTTGGTAATTATTGTTGAAATTTCTAATACTGTATAGGCTGCAACTTCCATGTGGTTAAGTCTCAAGCGGGTAGAATGTTTTATTTTTTTTTAAGCACTATATACTGTCCACATGGATTATTTATTTTTCGTTACATTACGTCGATATAACAGGTTTCATAACCTCAAAAGTGGTCAACTTTAACTATTAATATCTCGGCTCGCGAGGCAGAGCGACACTTTTTTCTGCCAGATTCTTTCGATTTATGCAAAAATGCGTCGAATAAGTCTAAATTTATTTGTTTCTTTTTTTTTCTCCATCAAACCTAAAAGTATCAGGACGACTTTCACGAAATTTAAACTCGATGATTTAACTTAACCATTCCAGTAATTTTGCAAGATTGACCAATCGCATTGATCATTTAGTTTTGACAATAGATGCGATTGGTCAATTTCAATGCGTAAACACATGCGCACATGACAGAGTATGAAAATATAATCGCAGCGCATGCTCATAGTGCAGTATTTCGTGTAACAGATTTCCTAACCTGAATGCCCTGAATTGACCGGCTCTGTTCATTTCGTACAAAAACGCGTCGTATTTTTATCAAAATTTGGGGTGAGCGGCTTCTTCTTAACATTTATCAAGAAAATATATGAAGAGTTCATAAAGAACTTGAGTACAATTTTTATTTAAAAACTTTGTCTTAATTGACTCTTTGTATTGTTTGTAACATTATTTTTGTTTATAAACTTAAAAGCTTTTAGAATCATACATGTAAGAAGTACAACAATGAGTAACAAAGGTTTAACGGTCTAGCTGGATCTTAAGTGCTTGTATAATTATATATAATATAATTCTGTGTGAATTTATATATTATGTATGTAGTGTCATTTAAACTGTACCGAACAATTTTTTTTTAGTCTTGAATAGCAAACTTTACTAAACTACTGCAATAATATCATGAATTAAATTGACTAGCAATTTAACAATTTTTTGCAATAAGAATTAATTATTTATACGTTTTAATATGCTATTCAACATTATTAAGATCAATCTAAAATGCACAAAAAACAAAAAATTGTTACTACTGTAGTTTAATAGAATTTGTGCTTCACAATATCAAAAAATTGTTCGGCGTGCAGAGTTTAAAGAACTATATATATATATATATATATATATTGTAGTATGTAAATTCACACAGAATTATACAAGCACCTAAAATCCAGCTAGACTATTAAAAGCTTTGTTACTCATTAATTAGAAGCTTTTATAATGATGTTGAAATAATGTATCATTAATTTCTGTTAGATTAATTGCTTTACAAGCTGCATCTACTGCTTGTGTCATAGCTGGTGTACCGCAACTGAAAACACCAATCTTATTTGTCTGGAACAAGAATTATTTAAGATATATACATTACATAAAAAATTGAAAGTAGATATATTATAATAAGGATTCAGAGATTATGTGACAAAGAAATAGAATAAATATCATCTGTTAATGTGGATGATTATATATGATAAAAAATTCACAATTCAAAATCATATAATAATAACAATGATGATGATAATGACAATAAAGTACTTACAGTAGGATGCAACTTCTGTATAGATCGAAAAAATTGAGAAAATTTGGGTCGTCCAAAATGTGTTACAGCCTTTAAGCCAGTAAACAGAGATTTATTTGAAATCTTTTGGAAATGACGTTCACAAATATACTGGAAATATTTAATTAACATTATTTTCCTAATGTAATTCTGTCAGCTAATGAAGATATTTTGTGTATTCATCAATTTAGATATCTTACCAAAAGTATTGTACGTAGGTCAAATTTTTGATAAAATTGAGAAACAAAAATATGAATAGAGACTGTGTTTTTCACATCTACTTTTTCGAGCTCTCTCAATATATCGACCATCCATTCAAATTGTTTTTGCGTTTTTGTTACCCAAAGGAAATATACCTGTACATGAAATAGTTTTACGTTTTTCACTTTATCATAGTATTAGTAGCGATGTTATTACCTTCTTGCAACCAAAGTTTAAATGGCAATTTGATTTAAAAACGATATCTTTAAGTATTGATGCAAAGGGTGTGACCCCTATACCTCCACCTATCATGATTGCTACTTGATATTTATCCCAATCTTGGTGACCTTCTCCATATGGACCATCTATGTGAACCTATCAGGATAAAGATAAATGAATAATCAGTGAAAAACCAATGAGAACAGGCTTAAATTTAAGATTTAATATTAAATTTAAGTTTAAATGGATAATGTAATTTAAAAACTTTATGTTGTTGAATGATTACTACCTGTGTAAAAATATACATTATGTATGTATGTGTACATTAATAAACAATACTATATTTTGCTATATAACAATAATAATACAACATACCATTGGTAAGTTTTCATTAGACATAATGCATGACTCTAGTTTTTCCCTGATATTTGTGGTCCATGGTCCAACCGCACGTATATGTATACTTAAACATGTTTCATGTGGTGCAGAAGATAAAGTAAACGGATGATATTCATTTGTTTGTAACGCCAGACATGCTATTCTAATCCACTGGCCAGATTTATATTGAAAATTTAATGGTTTGAAAAATGTTATACATGTTACATCTACGATATATGTAATACATGAGTATATACGAGAAATTCGAAATAACGATACGACTACAGTCAAGCAACAGAAGTTGCAATAATGATATTATGTAAGCAAGAATACCTGATGGTAGAATTTCTGCTTGGAGGATTGGTATTTCTGTCGTTGTTCTAGTTACTGTTACGACTTTATCAAGAATAAATAGAATGACTGGACCGAGAAGGAAATAATGAAAGTATGGGTCCTGTCAAAAAACGAAATGGATTTTCAATCACAATATGCTAATGCAAAAATACAATCAATTTTATACAAAGATATCGTATCAATTACTTGTACTAATCTTCCACTGCCATGTAAAATCATTAGTACATAGAAAACTGGGTACAAGGAATGTACAAAGGAGAACCAATTGTAGAATGACTTGCGTACTATCGATAATGAACACACAAATATTAATCCAGTCAAAATGGTTAAAAATACTCCCGTTATACCTGTTATTGTACTCCAACACCAATAGTGAAACTTGGGAAGTTCGTGCGTTCTAGATATCAATAATCATGTATATAATGACATGCCTATTGCATATGTCAAAGCACACTAAAATACAAATGATTGTGATTGAAGAAATTATAAAGTAAGCTTACGCATGAAAATAATTGCGAAATAAACACGTCAAATCATCAGCAGTTTGTGTAGATATGTGATAAAAGTTGAAGCCATGTCCAACAACATGTAACACTAAAAATTAATTAAGATAATTAAAAGAGGAAACTTATGTACGTTATTTGAGAGAAAGATTAATTAAAGTACAGTTATATCAGTAGGCTTTGTAAACTCTGCACCTGACTTGCAGTAATATTTTTTTCTGAAAGATCTTCGTATGCAGTTGAATGTAGTAACATTGATTTTATTTGTAGTAGCGCGGAAAAAAAAATATTGCGATTTAAAAGAATGTCATCACTTTGAAATTAATAAATTTTAAGCTGATTTGTAACTTAATATAATTATTAAAGTTGTAATTGCACTACAAACGGAAATAATTTTACTACAATTCACTACAAACGATTTTCTATAAGAAACACAATACTTAAAATTTATTAATTTTAAAGTCGGGGGATAACATTTTTTTTAAGTCGAGATATTTTTTTTCTGCGCTATTATAAACAAAATCAATGTTACTACATTCAATTACATATAAAGATCTTCCAGAAAAAAAAATTGCTGCAAGTCGAGTGCCAAGTTCACAAAGCAATATCAGTACAGTTAAAATAAGTTAAAATAAAAAAAATCTCACCAGTAAACAATAATGCCCAATAAGCGATATATTTGTGCATTTCGATCGCTGAATCAAAAGGAATATAGAATTGCAGAATTGTAGTTCTTAGAAAAGTGATAGTGTTGTGACATATCGTAATTAATAACGTAGAATAGGTAAACATCATAGCTGACGCAGCACCTCTCGTTATAGTTAAGCCATAGCCTAATATTCTTCTTAAACCAGTATGTTCCCGTTGTACAGAGTAATCTGTGAAAACGTACAATACAATATATTGCAAAATGCAGGAATTTTAGTGTTAGTTTAATAGAGTTAGACTGAAAAAAAATCTGTTTAAAAAAAATTTGTAAGTTTGTATTTCTTTTCACGAAATGCTTCGTAAGGCAATCAGAAAAGAAATGCATATGTTTGAGACTCGTATGGGAAATGTGTGAAAAAAAATTGGATAAAGCAGGTTTTTCACTTGTAGAAAAAAAAAAGTTGATTGTATAGGAAAAAGTAAAATGAAGCTAAAAATGTTAAAATCGGTCCAATAGTGAAGTTGAAAAAAAAACTAAAGATTATCAGAAAAGGCTTTGTTTTCACTCGCTCTGTTTATCGAGAGATTTAAATGCAATTTGACTTAAAAAAAAGGCCTTTTTCGATGATCTTGAATTTTTTTTTAATTTAACTAATGAACCGATTTTAACATTTTACGCTTCATTTTATAGGTATTTCGAATACTTACATTTTTCATACTGACCTTTTTTTCCATACAATCAACATCTTTCGTTCTATAAGCGAAAAGCCTGTTTTTTGCAACTATCCAAATTTTGTTCGCATACTTTCTACAAATTATTTCAAACACATCCGTTTCTTTTCTAATGGGTTTTTGAAGCATTTCGTGAAAAGAAATGCCAACTTACAATTTTTTTTCGCTCACAAACAGTAATTAGGCAGTGTCAAAAAGATCACTGTGAAAAGATATGAAGGGACATACAATATACTCGTTCTGCGAAAATCCCAAGTAGTAACAAAGTGTATAAACATGCCCAGAATATTTGCAATCGTTTATTGGCGAGGTATTTCATTATAGGATACCAATAATCGTCCGAGCGTTTCTTCATTTCCTCGATAATTTTTTCATCTTTGTTGATAATTTCGCTATTACTGTTCTCTTCTTTTGTATCTTGTTCGTTTTCAACTTTGCCTTCAACTCTGGATTGTAATTCGCTTGGGTCCGCATATAGACTCTCCACCGTCTTTTGTACTTCGCCAATAAATGTTGACCTGATTGTTTTCACGCTTGCGTGCAATTTCCTGTTGTTTTTTTCGTTCGTAGATACGTTGAATTCTAATTCTGCGTAATTAAATTTGTCATTAAAGTCACTTAATATCTGCTGAAAGTCTTGTAGATCTATAATTTCTTTATTCTCCAAATCAGCGTGATCCATCATGGACTGCACCAAATTTTCCAGTTCATCATCCGTAACATTAGTATTGACAGTCTCCATAAATGATCTAATGTTTAATATTAAATTGTAGTATACACACACACACACACACACGTGCGCGTGCGCAGGTGCATAGAAAAGGATATTAGACGATTTACAAATATATACCTTAACATATCTGAGAATTCTACTCTCTTTAGTTTTCCCGTACCATTGATATCATACATATCAAACATCAACTTCATCTTGTCTTCAGCAGAGCCCTTTAGAAATATCACCAACATATCAACAAACTCCCGAAACGATATGAAGCCATTCTTATCTTTATCCACTAGATAAAATATCTGCAAATTTAATCTTTTGATATTTTAATATTGTTAGCATTAACTTATTATTCAACACAACAAATGTTACTTTTTTTACAAACTCGGCATCTGGTCTCATACTTAGGGCTTCTGCAAATTCTATAATAGTCAATTCGGTGTAAATTACTTCTCGTGCTACTGTTGAATCTATTTGTAAGATCTCTTCTTCTGTATGTGCGATATGAAATGCCTATAAACATTTCGTGGATATAAGTTTTACGAGTGATCAAATGAAATATTGTTTAAATGTTTCAGTGAAGGAGAAGAAAAGAGGAATACCTGTGCAAATACTACTCGGAAAAACATTTCTACTTTTTTTTGACGGTGCTTCTTGGTTATTGCCTGCTTGAGTAATGCTGCGTGCGTGATATTAGCCATTTGTACTGAGCATGCATCTTGAGGTATTACAATTTCTGATATAAATTTTTCGAATGCTTTTATAAATGCATTTCTTAAAAAATCGGAATCAAACTTGAGTACTAAATCGTAACTGTTACGTACACGAATCAATAAATAATGACTGTCAGATGCGCAATACATCTACATGTAAGGTGAAGAAAGAAAGTAGTAGTGATTGATATATCATTAAAGAGAAGAGAAATGAAAAGGTACCATGACGTTGCTATTAGATGGAAAATCCACGGCGCGTATCATGTGCCCCAATTGATTTTTCACTTCTAGTTGCTTTTTTCTTACATTTGGCATTAATAGTACACATCTCAGTGAAGCTTTTGGTTCTTGCCATTCGCTAGCTGTTTATGAAGCAACGTCTTCGTTAATATGCATGCGTGTGTAATGTATGCACGCACGCCATAGCAAAATCCTAATATCAAAGTGTCGAAGCTATAATAGTTTTTAAATGAGAAAGATACTTAAAGTTCGTCAATTAAACGCTCAGGCATGATACATTGTACAGTAGTGAAGAGAAGTTTAGAAGAATATTGTAGAATTGATGCTTGTATATATCCTCAACATTGTGGTACTAGGATTTTTGTCTCGAAATTCTCAAGAATCTGTTATTAACCTTAGGGGTACACGCTTGTTTTTCTGCACCCTACTTGTACACACTGGAGTTCCTGGGACTCTATTCATATTTATTACTATAACTTCTGTTAAAATGGATATGTTTCAATTAATTTTTTTTTAATCGATGGAGAATTGATTAAGGAATAAGCCCATAATGTGTAAAAGACGATAGAATTAAGGAATTTCGAGATATACGAGTATATAGATTCAAAGAAAAAGAAAAGTTCAAAAATGTGAAAAAAAAAAAACTCGATTCACTAGTTGCGCTGGACTCCCGGAGACCCCAGTGTGTGCAACTAAAGTTAAAGGGTATCACGCGAAGTCTGGGATATCCTGTATATGTATACACATATATAGGGTGATTCGAAATTTTCACATTCAGAGTACAGCACATGATACTTTATGTCCCTTATGAAGGTTAAATATCAGTATTGTTCTTAGTTGATTTTTATTATTTAAGATTGTCTTAAGTAATGTCTCACTACACACACACACACACACACACACCCACCATGATACAACTTATTTGACGTGTTTGAAAACTTACCAGTATGTATAATATCTATATCATTGTGGTCTGCTTTTCTAATATTTTCGTTTGATATTTTTTTGTTTTTCACTTGTATTTTAAAAACGATTAATGTAATAAAACCTGCGTTAAAATTAACATTAAATGATACGATATCGTGACGAGATCTTAATAAATAGCAATAAGATTTTTTTTACCACAGAATAATGTTGTTATGCCCAAAAATGTAAAGACGAAAGACATGCCGCTATTTGAGAAATAGTCGTAAGTTCCAGGTTGTGTGCAATTCTCAATTGTATGTTCGCTTATTTGATCGGCGTGAAAACAGGGGCTCTTAGTACATTTACCTTCTTTCACAATTTTATTATTAATACAACTAGGATGTATATCACTGTCTGTAAGAACCATAAAGAAATATTATTTTCTGTAATATGTATCTATACATATATAGGGTAGAACATTTTAATCGCTCTAGAAGAAGATGGGATTAGTAAAAGTTTCAAACAAAAGTTATGTGACTTCCAGGAGGGCACAAGATATCTCTAGTCTCTTTTAATTAGGAGAATAGGATTTACAATGTCAATAATCAACAACATCACTAACATCTCATATGATGCAGCTAGGAATAGTGCAACAAGTAACGTCATTATTTTATAAGGTTCGCTAATTAACTTTTTGAATTTAACATTGAAGATGACCTAAGCGAGGTCAAAATGTCTGTTTGTTTATCAATTGCTTTCTTTAATAATTGTTTATATAATGTCATTTCAATATATTTATTATATTCTTTTTGTTATTGATTTAAATATGTATATTATTGGCTCGTAGCCTTTATAATATATCTCTTGAAATCTCTGAAGCGCCTCCTGGACAAAAATTATTATCACCATATGGTAGCCCCTTTTACATCGTGTAATTTTGGTTATATGAATTTTTCTCTACATCTTATAGATTAGAAGATATTTCAAGTGGTAATAGTTGGACACTCTGTATGTATATATCTTTTCTTATTATACCTGAGATAGGAACTCTAAAAGGATTCTTTGGAATATCATTCCAGTCCATCTTAGTGGTACACATTAGCACATCGTAAAACGATAATTGTTCTAGTCTTCCAATTTCATCATCGGTGAAAAGTCTACATATAAAATCGTGTCGAATAACATTGTTTGCTACATCAATTATATGGATAATATGCAATATATATACAAATGTGAAACTATGTAAATTAATTGTAAAATAGTAATTTGCGATTACGCACCCATTTGAGGTATTGTTATACCAAAACCTATCACCGTCACGTATTCGTTGAAATTGATCACGTATGATTCTTTGAAATAATTCTCCGGGTCCGTCATCAGTCTCTAATATTCCGCCTACCCAAACATCCACGTCATCGAACGAATTGTTGTATAATCTGAGAAACTTCTCTCGGATCTTATGGAAATAATATTTTTTTATAAGTGCTGCTGCTAATTATACAAAAAATGGATTTTATACAACACATACCGATATATCCACGCGATTAAAATGAGATACGTTTTTAACTTCCGCTAGACCATAAGCACGACGAGCGCTATTATAATCAGGTACCCCATGGTCACGTCCTCTCTGAATATTAAGTGCCATCAAATCTCTTCTAGAAAATTCTAGTGGACCGAATAAACTACCCCGTAGATCTTCCACGATTTTATGATCCTCCTCTTCGCATAATTGTATAGCCATCCCCATTAGTAATTTCTCCACATCGATGATATCTTTTATTCTTGTTAGATTGGCATATAGAGAATTCTAAACAACGATTCATCATTCACATCACGTGTGCATTTTGAACGTCGAAACATAAAAACTTTCATATACATATAATTGCTAAGTACCTGTGACATCCAGTAATTATTGCATGTTCTAATTGGATATGATTCCAAGGAGCAATTATCCCTCCCATAGTTGCGTAAGTATACACCTAATGTTATGATTATTGCGATTATCGTGGCAATCAGCGTACGTTCAGCAGACTCAATAGTTTTGCAACCGTTTTATGATTCGTCTCGTTGTGATTGAATTATATAATACTTTTAGATCTAAAGGAATAGTCAGAGAAGAATCGTAAGACAGTTATAAAACTGTGGAATCTGCTGAACGCGACCAATGTTATTATTATTAAATACCGATGAGAGAGAGAGAGAGAGAGAGAGAGAGAGAGAGAGAGAGAGAGAGAGAGAGAGAGAGAAAACGTGCCGTAACGATCAAACTGGATCTTGAATGCTTCTAATATAATTTCGTGTGATTTTATGTATATACAATACTACATATGTAGATTTCTTAAAGCGCGCCGAAATTTTTTTCAGACTTACATATAAATTAATTTATAGATTGTTAATATGACATTTATATAGATTTTAATATGTCATTCAACATTATTAAGATCCAAGATGCTATGATCATCAAAATTGTTAGATTGTTAGTCAATTTAACTCGTGATAGTACTGCGATAGTTTATTAGAGTTTGTGTTGTAAGTCTGAAAAAAATTTCGGCGCGCATTTAAGAAATCTACATACGTATAGTATATAAATTCACACGAAATAGAAAGCACGAAATTAGAAGCATTCAAGATCCAGCTTATAAGATTTGATATTATTATTATTATTATAACGTACATTCTTATTGCAAGGCGCAGTTTTGTATCTTACGACTTTTAATTAATATACAAGCTATTATCTGTTAGTATGTTAATTAAAAATCAAATCTTTTCTGTATCACCTTGTACCTTATACAATTGAATGAGAAAGAGAACGCAAACACGTGAATAACTGTGAATAACATCTTACAATATTATCAACGTCGATGATATGTCGCACATATAATATTTATTGTTGACAGTTGAGAAATAAAAAGTATTACCTGGTGGAACCAAGGTGTGTCCAAAGCGGAAAGCGGCTGATTGGAAAAATTGTTCTATCTGCGGATCGATATTGGAATTGTAACCTTTGAACAAATTATCATTAAAATTACATATAAATTACAAATAATCTATTGTGTTATTTAAAGTTAGAAATTGCTACTTTTACCTTCGTATACAGGAAGCCTATTTCCCAACCATGAAGGCAACCACTCGTTGACGACAATGTGTTGCTGAGTCGCTATCACCCATTTACGGGCTTCATTAAAAACTTCGTCATTCGACCAATTTGGATTGTGACGTTTAACATGCAATGCTACGAAATTGTGCCATCTAAACCATATTATACCGAAAGTCAATAGGAACGGATTTTCATTTCCTCGAGGATTTCCTAATTCTGCAACACATACGTTTGAATCGGGTTGAAATCAACGACAAATTAGGCGATAACGATCAGAAGTTTGCTCAAAATTCAATTAGACAGACTATCTGTCTATCTGATTGAAAATGTATCTTGCTCGACTATTGAGAAGTAAAGAGATACTGCGGGTGAAGATCCCCACAGACAAAACGTCTCGCAGATCGGCTACGAAGATGACAGTGCGCGAAGCGTTGAATAAGGCTCTCGACGAGGAGTTGGCTCGGGACGAAAAAGTATTTATATTAGGAGAGGAGGTCGCGGAATTCGATGGTGCTTACAAGATAACACGTGGACTCTGGAAGAAATACGGCGACAAGAGACTGATCGATACACCAATCACGGAGGCTGGATTCTGCGGTATTGCCATTGGTGCAGCATTATTAGGTCTAAGGCCGATATGCGAATTTATGACTTTTAATTTCTCCATGCAAGCGATTGATCGTGTCATCAATGGTGCTGCGAAGAATCTTTACATGTCCGCCGGAAGATACTCTGTTCCTATTCTATTTCGGGGACCGAACGGTAACGCCAAAGGCTTGGCCGCGCAGCACTCTCAATGTTTTGCTGCGTGGTTCATGAGTGCGCCCGGTTTGAAAGTTGTGTCACCGTCGACGTGTGAAGATTACAGAGGCTGTTTGAAAGCGGCTGTGCGGGATCCTGATCCCGTAGTCATGCTGGAGAGCGAACTGCTTTATAACATAGAGTTTCCCGTATCCGATCAAGCTATGGAGAAAGACTACCAGATACCTATCGGCAAGGCTAAGGTAGAGAAATCTGGCAAGCACATCACTCTAGTAACGCATGGCCAAGCGTACGTGTATACGCTTCAAGCGGCCGAGTTACTGGCGGGACAAGGAATCGAGGCGGAAGTTATCAATCTACGATCGTTGAGACCTTTGGATTGGGACACGGTATTCAAGTCAATCGGGAAAACACACAGATTAATGACGGTCGAACTGGGCTGGCCTAGATGCGGTGTAGGAGCAGAGATCGTCGCAACAGTGATGGAAAATCCAGTCTTTTTTCAGCTGGACGCACCTGCGGTTCGATGCGCCGGCATTGACGTTCCGATGCCTTATTCGGAGAAGATCGAGCACGAATGCACCCCGAAGGATCATCATATAGCCGACTACGCTAAACGTATCTGTGGCACAAAATTCTGATATACACATATATCGATATACAAATTTATCGATTTATAGACAATAAAGTTTCTCACTCACTGAAATATCTGGTGACACTCTCGGTGTAATGTCGTGAAACATATTGATGATGATGAATAGGTGGCGGTGGATTGGCCATCGGTAATCTAACGGTATTGTAATCGGGATACAAAGGTAAATCCGACGACGCGAGTTGCCCATCCTCCTGCAATATTCCACTGGCGTTCATTCTTAAAATGTCGGACCATGCTTTGGACGTACCGTAAATCAATCCGCCGTCTAAGTATGGTGTAATCTCGTTCAGCTGCAACATATTGCATACCGAAGTTTAGATTTGAGCAATGTTGAAAAGCGATGTCGCTCGTTAATGAACTACTACGAGGACCGTAATGGCTTCCTGTTTCTTACTATTTGTCTTTTGCCTTTTGGTGAAAGAGACAAACAGCAAGAATTATCATTACATTGTCGTACCTGTTGACGAGGATTATTCGGCGAATGGCCTGTCTGATGATCGTATCGTGTACGTAAAACAGGCATTTCCGTGTGTCCCGGTTTAATTCTATATCGATGATTTTTTGGAATTTTTACGTTAATATATTCGGGCGGGCACGCTGGTCTCTGAGCATCTAAAATTTCTTCCACCACCTGTTGACCTGTTTAGCATACATTTTGGCAAATTGTATTTGTTCAACTTTCATATAATAATATTGCTCTAATCCCTCAACTAGTCACCATTTATAGTTCTTGAAACTCTAAATATATCTAAAAAATGTGTGTGAAACATACAGTTTTATTTAATCTAATCGATGATAAATATGCATGTGCATAATTTATAATATGTTATTTTTATCTGTAAATTTATACACAAACGGAATATTTTTATCTATGCTATATATATATATATAGTAATAATAAAACTAAATATAATAGAGAAAGATTTTTCCAGATATACGTGTTATTATAATATATACAAGGTGTCCCAGAGTTTCTTCCAATCGCTTTTGTGTAGATAGAGCGAACTAAACTGAGTCGAAAAGTCTTCTATCATTTTGCAAAATTCGCAATGATTAACGAGATATTAATTTTTAAAGATAGCTGAATATTGGTCTTCAATAATTTTTTTCTCAAATACTATCAACTTTACAGAAAAATAGCGAGAGATGAAAATTGTTTACTTTCTTCTCATAAAGTGATCTGAACATTTTTTCAGAATTTTTCCAGAATTTTTGAATACTGTATTTCTTATGTTGGTAAAAATAGTTACCAATAAGAAAATGCAGTACTAAAAAGTTAACAAAAAATTCTGAAAAAATTTTTGGAGTTCTATGAGAAGAAGATACACAATTTTTGTCCCTTGCAGTTTTTCTGCAAAGTTGATAGCATTTGAGAAAAAAAATTATTAAAAACCAATATATTCGGCTATCTCTTTAAAAATTAATATCTCGTTAACTATTGCAAAGTGGTAAAGGACTTTTCGACTCAGTTTAGTCCGCTCTATCTACACAAAAGCGATTGGAAGAAACTCTCGGGACACCTTGTACATAGATATAGCTAAAAATGATCAATGATACTACTGTAATTTTAAATATAGTTATATATAAGGCCGGAATCAGATTGAAGATTGAAAATTGAAATTTGACCAATGAGAATAAAGGAATTTTAGCTTAATTCTATTATTCTTATTGGCCAAATTTCAATCTTCAATCTCAATCATTAATGTGTAGTCTGATTTCGGCCTAAGATAAATTGTATTCGCGTATACCGAAAAATACAAGTAGAGCGTTTCTTCCCGTTCTTGATTTAGATCCAATTTTTCCACTCAGTAACTTCTCACTTATCTCTAATGGTTCTGGTCTTTTAGAGCCTGAAGGTTTATACACTCCATCTTCGTAAGCTGCTGGCAGTCTTCTTAATAACGGAGTATCGACTGCACCTAGTTCTGGTTTGCCAACGTTATTGTACCATCCATCGTAACCAGGATATTCGATTGCAGTGTGATACGGTGAGCATTTATTCGGTTGATTATCATGTCCACCCCAACATCCAGTAAATAACCAATCTGTCAAGTCCTTGTCGAAAGTTTTCTCATTCAGTTTCTTGTCCGGCTTGTTGAAATCTAGGATACAGAGAGAAGTATATCATAATGTCGATTCAATATGTAAAAACTGTAAAACGAAGGAGCAAAAATAAAACGTATATATTTACAAAAAAATTACCAAGATTTATGCCAAGATTTATGCAGATTATAATGTGAGATATTTGTATGTATGTGTATAATACGTACATTTATTTGAATTTGGTGTAGATGTAAGTTGAACAAATTGTTCTTGCTGTTGTGTTATAAAAAAATTAATTACGATAATGAATAAATTTAAAGTAAGATACATGTTAACACGACATATGTCAAAAATAAATATAGTAAGAATGTGTATGTCACATAAGAATTCTCTCTTTCAGCACTATCCTTCAGTACTCGCTTATTTAGAACTGCAGCTATTTCTATTCAGTGATTTTTTATCAAGCGGCTTGATTCGACTACTTCCTCTTTACACGATAAAAATACATATCATACATAGGAAACCGAAATCTGAATCATTGGCAGATATTAGACCTTGAGCAAGATTATATTACGAGTTTATTAAATAATTTGTTACGACTAAATATAATTAGATATAATTCTATGACTATGTAGATTGATTAGAATTAAGTATAAAAGTAACGCAAAATGTATGCGCCGAGAAAGAAAATTCTTTGGTTTGCGATAACTACTAGAATCGTGATATTAAAATTACAAGTAATTTTCAATGTATTAATCCCCGATCATCACGCAGATGCATTTAAAAGACCTTTGGATCCTACAGAGAAAGTTGCTCTCTGTGACCAAATAGTTAATTTTTTATTCAATGGCTTTACACGTTGGGACGGAGAATATTTTTTACATATTGCGAGATATGGGTACACATATGAAAATACTCTCGCTTTCTATCCATTGTATCCAGCTATGATTCGCATTGTCGCTGTTATTTTGACAAAAGCACTTCCTTTATTCAACATGCAAAGTTCGATGATCATTGCTGCGATTTTAATTAATTTTGTGTGCTTTGTAAAATCCGCTATTATATTTTACGATCTCACTGAGTGTATATTTCAAAATACTACAATGGCTTATAAAGCGGCCATACTTTATTGTATAAATCCGGCTAGTATATTTTTCTCAGCGTTATATTCAGAGTCTATGTTTGCGTATTTAACATTTTATATTATGCTCGGAAGTATCAAGTGTATGCCTAACATCTATTTCCCATTGGCCTTATCAATTTTGACGAGATCAAATGGTATCGTCAACATTGGTTTCCCTATATATTTCGAGCTTCACAATTTGTGTAAATCGGAAAGAATAGAAAAATATAGACGAAAACATAATGTACTATCAATCTCATGGCAAATTTTAAAATTGATGAAATTAAAAAACTATATTACTATATTAAGCACAATAATTATATCGTTATCTCCATTTATCCTTTTACAAATATACAATTATATGAAATTCTGTATCTCTACATTCGATAAGTCGTCATTGCCAGCTCATGTTTTACAATATGCTGTAGAAAATAATCTGATTCTAGCAGGTAAAACGGATTCAATATGGTGTAACGCTAGTGTGCCTTTAGCATATTCGTATGTGCAAAAGACATATTGGAATGTCGGATTCTTAAGATATTACCAATTCAAACAAATACCGAATTTTGTTTTAGCTCTTCCAATATTGTACATTACTTTGCAATGTATAAAAGAATTTATTAGTGAATATAGGGATGAATTACACTTGCTAGGCTTTTTTAATAGCAAGGCAAAACGCGAGAGTATTATTAAAGTAAAAAAATATCCATTGAGTATGTTTGTTTTTGTAGTACATGGATTATTTCTAATCATGTTTTGCTTATTCTTTGTACATATCCAAGTTAGTACACGTTTATTAGCCTCTGCAACTCCCTTGATATATTGGTACTGTGCATTAACCATGTCTCACAAATGTATTAATCATATCGATTTACAATACGAAAGTAGCGAAAATATATGCTCGAAGTGGAAGGTATTTTTCTTATCTCAAGAACAATATACATTACAAGATAAATTTATATTATTTTATTTTATAGGATATACAATCGTAGGTTGTTTCATGTTTTCAAATTTCTTGCCATGGACTTGATATATATATATATATATATATATATATATATATATATATATATATCATATTCTAAGTATATATGGAATATTCCTTTCGGAATATGCGTCTTTTCGTTTGTTCTGTTGCAAGAACGTTTCTAAATTTTTCAAATATATGTATAGATATGTACTAAGTTCTTGTATATGTAAAGAATAAATCTTTGGAATCAAAAATTGCTTGCGGAAAATATTAAACTATTTAGTCTATATAAATATTTAAAAAAATACAACTATTGTTATGAATTCTGAAATATATACGTACAAATATTTGATTACATTGTAGATAACATGTATATAGAACTTTGTTAATATAGGCGCTAATGAAATGCTCATATATCTCTAATTGTAAAAATAATCAATTACACATATGTGAAACATTACTTCTAATAAATTTATTCCAATAATAAATACCATATATTCCATTTATGTACAATTTGTAGATATTTTAACTTGTGATATGCGTTTTTTTATGCTTTAATATTTCGATAGGTGTGAGGTATAGCATTAATAAACAATCAGGACATTTGTATGCATGACTATTAGCTTTACGTGTAGTATTTTCACTTTTTGCATCAACGGTAATCGTATTTACAATTTTACAAGAGTTCTGATGTTGAAGTTTTTCGATACTTGACAGAATTGCTTGAAGATTACAATTCTGACAATGCCATTCGGTTTCTTGCATTTCTGCAATTAGCTGTTCACTCCAACTGGTTTCTTTTATACTGTAATGTTACGATCGAAGTTATTAATGAAAATAATGTATGTTCTTTGTTCCGTATAAATAATTAATTTTACGTTTTATACAGTAATAGTAACTTGGCAAATAGTTAAATCTTACTTTGATTTTTGTACTCACCAATTATATGTGATATTATGTGTTATAAAAACACCACCTTTAATTACATTTTGTGTGCTTTTAAAATCGGATTGGAAAGGATTAGGCTCTATATTCGTATCGTTATATCCATTACCAACATATATCATTTTGAGATCGGCAGGTAACAGCCGTTTTATGGTGTATGGTATCATAGTATGCATATATTCAATCAGTTCTTGCGTAAGACATTGTTCAATTTCACTAAAATCTTTTCTTTCATTATTAACATCGTTGATTCCTAATAAATAAATAAATAAATAAATAAATATATATATATATATATATATTTTTGCTATATATTTAATATTCTAAAGAAATATATACACACATACAACTCATTTGTAAATGCATTACCTTGTAACTGCTGATTTAATAAAAAGTCCCACTTATTTCTTAATTTGGTGGCTTTCATCAACAAAATTTGGCCACTGTCAGGTGCAGGAAATTCTAACATAAGCCACGAATCGCATACTATTCTACAAGACGTAAAAACAGTTCTATCTCATTAAACAGTTACTATCTCGTTAAGAAATTAAAATTTATAAAGTTAACATACATAGAGAATGTGCTATTTGTATCTATTTCATGCGCAAATAATAGCAACGTTTGTGCGGCAGGCATTCTTAAAGTATTTACTAGATATGGTTTTGTAGTTTCCAAGAGGGACCTGTTAATAATGTTAGTACATTATATAAAACATTTAAAACTCATATTTTATACGCACACATATATGTATACAAAATAAAAACTTACAGATATGCTAATATCTGATGTTTACAACTAACAGGAGTTTTGCTCTTAAATCCTAACACTGATATGACATCCATTTCTTCAATTTGCAAAACTTGTGGATGATTTCCGAAAAAGCTCATTGGATGCAAAGCAACGTATGGTTTCGCTTTAGTGTGAAACAATTGCTCACTTGTAGACTGAATAATAGTTGAAGATACATTTATTATATAAATATATTATTTTAAATATATATAGAATGATTCGTAATTATAAGTAAATATTTTAGAACACGCACGCACATTTTCTTTAATTTATTATCTAATTTAGAAAGCACATCGTTTATATATTCGTAATATCTTTTCTAATTTTAAGCTTCATATTTAATCCTTAAAGTATTAATATGTATTTAAGATAATCATTCTACATAAAGCACATAAGATTTATAATTTTTACCTTGCAATAATTAAACTCGTCAGCACAAGCAAATTGTGGATATAAACCACTACATAATATCAATTTTAACATTGTCAGATCTTTATAGGTACATGCGGTAGATGCCGTTAAAAGATTCTGCACCTGACTCGAGTCATTTCTCATTCGAAATTCTATATCTTTTATGTCAAGTTCTCCATTATTTTCATCATTATCCTCCAATTGTATATCAAAGGTTTCTACTTTTAATTGTTTACGCCTTTTAGGTTCACTTTGTTTGTAAGTTCTTTTGAGAGATTTCAAAAGTTTTAATTCTCCATGCCTTATGGCACGTTCTGCGCTCGTCATGGAAGAATTTGGTTCCGGGAGACTTTTAAGTAAATTGCAATCCTGCATTATGTACATACACAGGCAACAAGTAGTATTAAATATATTGTAACGATATTGGATCTATGTAAGAAATGTATGAGAGGTATAAACTAACTTGGAGTAAGTCTTTAAATTGAGCTCTTAATTTTGTCATTTCATAGAATCGTTGTTCTTCTAAACCTCTTCTTTTGCACCATTTTCTGCTACTATTACTACTGCTTCTGTATTCTTGAGAATTTTCTTGTTTCACCTCTAGCCATTCTTTAAATGCATTCAATAACGTTATTGGATCACCATGATCGGATTCCAACTTCTTTCTAGACGTCTGCAATATTATTGAAATTGTTTCATTACGTAATTAACAGTACAGTGCAGTTGTTTTATTCGTAAGCATTAATTACCTCACATTCGGTATCCCTGTAAGCCCTATTAGTGAATGGTGTTTGTATACTTAGAGCAGCGGCCAGTGACAACACGGGTTCCACTTGATGAAAAATAGATCCCATTATTAACATCTTCCCTATTGTAATATCAACAGGTAATCGTGCTAAGCTTTTACCGATACACGTGATTTTTTCGTTATCCGTAAGTGCATCCTAGTGAAAAAAAAATTGAACTTTATATTTGGTATTTTGCAAGGAAAAGAACCGACTGAGATACCGAAAATACCAACGTGATATTTTAAGGATAGTATAGCATTTTCTATGTTATTTGTTGGCGGTGGTTCTATAAACGGAAACTTCCGTGCATCAGGAAGCCCCATTGCTATCATTTGCAATAGTGAAGAATCTAAAGGTACACGTTGTAATTCTGGTGTTGAGTATTTTTCCAACATCTTATACTCTTCCTCTGAATAAATTCTGTAAAAGTAGATGAAATAATATTATTTATCCCTGAACACTCTTTTTCATGTAAACTGATTAGAATAAATTCATACAGATTCCTATTTTTTTTAACTATATTATTAGTGCATTACCTGTAACAAACTCCAGGTCCAGTTCTACCAGCTCTTCCTTTCCTTTGTTCCGCACTAGCCTTGCTTATCCAAAATTCTTTCAATCTTTGCATTTTACATGACGGATCATAACTCATTTCCTTTACTTTTCCACTATCTGCGACGAACCTGATTCCATCAATGGTAATAGAAGTTTCTGCAATATTAGTTGCAACAATACATTTTCTAACTCCATCAGGTGCATAATCAAATACCTAGGAATAAAAGAGAAAAGAACTTTGTGATATTTTTTCGTAATCCATACAAAAGTGATTTGTCAAAATATATCACACAAGAAGTGTACCTTGTCTTGTTCAATGATAGAGAGAGTACTGTGAAGTGGTAAAATTATCCAGTTATTTTTCTTTATACTATATTCCTTGGCAGCATCTACGACTGCAGTAATTTCACTTATTCCGCTCAAGAATATTAGTAAATCACCCTTCTCATCAACTGAAATATTTCTATCATTGAGACTATTTTAATTTATATTTGTATGATAATTTTAAATGAAATTTAGTGAGAATAGGAAATAATCTTACTTTTATGCCACAACTTTTTTATTTTATATTAATGTTATTATTATATATAAAAATGAGAGAGAAAGAAAGAGAAAGCGCTATATTTCATACCTGGATATTTTTGATCAATTATTTGCAGAATTTGTACATATGGGCTGGGATTAAATCGATCATTTTTGTATTTGATGTCTTGTACAGTTATAGGACGATATAACAATTGAATGGGATATAATCTTCCAGGAACCTTAGAGGAAAATATAAAAAAAAATCTTAGTAGGACATTCAATATATTTAGTTTATAACAAAAAGTATTTAATATTATGATATAATTATATATGAGCTTTTGAAATTATTAAAATATTATATTATGAAATATAAAAAAGCAACACATACTTACTTCTATCATTTTAACATTTTCCTTTGCAAAATAATTACTAAAAAGTTCTGTATTAATAGTTGCAGACATTAATACTAATTTAAAATCAGATTTTTGATAAATGATACATTTCATAATGCCGATTAAAAAATCTCCATGTAGGTGACGTTCATGTACTTCATCCAAAATTATCACATCGTATGCATGTGAAGTCGACTCGTTTGACAGCTAAGTAAAATAATGATTTATACTCTGTAAAATTTATTGAAACTATCTCTAGTTAATAGATATTATTTGCAGATATTTAGATATTCACCTGACGTAACAATAAACCTTCTGTTATAAATGTAATGTTTGTTTCTTGGTTTCTCTGTTTCTCAAAACGTATCTGATATCCAACTGTGTTCAGATTGTCGCTCAATGTTTCAAAAGCAACTCGTTTTGCTAAAGAGATGCATGCTAATCTTCGGGGTTGCGTGCATGCTATTCAAGTATTATAAATAAGTTGAAGAAAAATTAGACATTTTTAATATATATTAATAAATGATATAAAATATTTAGATTGACAATAAAACAAGAAACACTTTACCAATCTTTTGGAAACCAGCTTCATGCAAGTATCGAGGGATCTGAGTAGATTTCCCACAACCAGTGTCTCCTGCCACAATGATTACCTTCTCTGTCTTAATCATTTCGATAATTTTTTCTTTGTATCGTGCAACTGGTAAGTTAGCTTGGGTATCTCGGAGTCTTTTTAATTTGGCAAATTTCTCCTTTTGTTTAAAGTCCAAGTACAAGAGTATCACATCCCTGAACTTGAGCAGTCGCAATTCGGTCAACGGTTTTGTTTCTGGGACTCTGGCAAATAATTCTCCATAGGATAAACCAAGCTTGAAGTTCAGACAATGAGACTTGTGATACTTTTCTGGCAGTCCAATGGAATTTTGAGCGGAATTGATCTCAGATTCATCACTAATGCCTAGTTGCTTATTAACAGACTCGTATTTTTCAACAAACTTCCAAAAATCCACCATATCGTGGACAAGATTCGGGTTTGCTGTGAAAATCTTATTCAATTCGTGTTTATATTTACAGAAATACGAGCTGCTACTTTCGTGACGACTTCCCGAAGACGAGTTTCGTGGCGAAGAACTTCTCACGTTATCGGAAATCGTGTGTATCTCCCGATCGCTTGACGTGGCAGAACTTGAGAAGATGCGTTTTTCATTCTTACGATCATTGCGGTGACTTTTCCTATAATATTTGTCATCCTCACGCTTGCTTTCATCACTGGGTAAACGCTTCTTTTCTTTTCTCGATAACATTCTCTATCATACTTTAATTTGAGAGACCACCCTTCTACCGACTCCCGTCCGTCTTAGTTCCACTAAGAGCCTCCTGAGGCGCTGTCGCGATGCGACGCTCCCGCTGGTTACGTCACTGCAGAGTGATTGGCCCGAATAGCGCGGGAAGACCACGCGCGGCTATCATTGGCCGCTTGACTTATTTGAATTACAGTCCCTCACAGGGACTCTAATTTGAATCAAGCCGGAGTACCGTCCTCGCGGACGGTCGACATTTTGTGTGGAAGCAAAAGAAAAAGTGCTAACAGTGTCTCCCCGAATCCAAAATAGTAGCGTGTTATATCACAACTGTGCCGCTATCAACACTAAGTATTCCTTCCGACTTCTGAGGTAATGTATTGGTAACGTTAGTATTTGTAATCTGTAAACAGTACTGTTGTGTCGGTCGAATGTTGTATCAAGAATTCGGTAAAGCTGCAACGGAGGGCAGTCCTCTCAAAAATCGATTGAATTATACTCATTCGACGCGTTTTTCCATAAAACGAAAGAATCTGGCAGAAAATAAGCGTCGCTCTGCCCCGCGAATCGAGAAATTAAGCGTTAAAGTTGCCGACTATTGAGGTCAGGAAATCTGTCGCAGCCTTACAATTGCCATGTCTTCTACATGTATTTCCCGTTACTTTTCGGTCCAACAGGAACGAAATTTAAAATGTATGAAATTTTAAATGGGTTAAAAATATTGCAAGCGGACACTGCGTGTTGCTTTGGTTCGGGGCGGCTATACGCAACAGTACAATTATAGAAAATGCATGAAAAACGCGTTGAATAAGTATAATTTATTATTTTTGATAGTATTATCCTGCATTGCATCTTTACCAAAAAAAAAATATATATAATCATAAATACACTTACAAATGCGAAAGTATTATTAGGAACGTTAATGTTTACGTAGGACTAGATTTTAGTGCAATTTGAAGAAGACGCTTGTTGCTGACATTGAACATCGGTATTTGGAGGATATAATTAACTAATTTACGTCGAAGAAACTATCAATACGATTTTCCAAAATATAATCGCGTTTGAAAAGGTATTCAGACAAATATCCAACAAAATGTATCGGTATGTAATCTTGTATTTTGGAATATTTACCCTGACTTCTCTCTAAATACGTTCAATATTTTGAGTATGAGCACCTATATAAATTTAAAAAAAATAGTATATATATTAGCACATTTCATATTAATCTAATCTATATATTTATAAAACACTTTACCTGTGCCAGGATCTACAAAATTATACGAGTGGTTAGCCGTCAGATGTTGGAAATCCTTAAATTGTCAAAACAATTGTAGGCTTTCCAACAATCTGAGAGTATTATCGACCCTGGTAAAATCCTTTCTTTTATGCATTTTAACAAGATCCCTTGCGTTCGATCGTTGACAGGTACTAAAAATATCGTCTTCGACTCTATCAATTCCTCCAAAAATACCCAATGGCCTTCGACTATCTCGTCCACGGTTATATTTCCTACGGCCAAATTTTACTTCGTCTTATTACTTATAAGTTTTTCACCATGTTTTTCTGCTCAGTACACACAGACCTTTAATATTAATAAGTAAATATACAATCTCTCTATTCATATTAATATATTATATATTTTTAGATAAAAAATATTCCTGTACTTCTCTGCTAAAATTGAGTCAATAACCGTGTGCTTAAACAAGCCAATGTCCAATGTCAGAAACTGTACACGTGGTGTACCATATATGAAAAATAATGGTGATAGAAAAATAATAAAATACGCTATGAGCCTACAAACTAATTTTATATCCGTAGGACTCTTGTTAAACCACGTTTCAAGTCGAGCACTTCTTTTAAAATTACACTGTTTGCTAATACGTTTTTTTTTGTGAACATTTTTCACAAAATGTTTTTTGTTGCAGTTAAACTTTAACGTTTCTCTTTATTTCGATTTATAATACTTCCACATTTGTTAGAATTTGTTGTAGCAAACAATACAGCATGCTGAATAAGAAAATTGATTAAATTTTCTCTGTTGGCAGTTAGACAAATAAAATTTGATAGCATCATTGTTGAGAATGCTAACAGTTATTGTACATGTACTACACAGTAGGAAATAAACTTTTCAATTTTAGCGGTTATTTTCTTTTTCGGGCGCATACTTATGAAAACACATGCGCGTGTGGCTATGAAGTATGAAAATGTGACCGCAGCGCATGCTCACAACGACATATATACCTGGACCGGTATTCATATGCCTGGTTTATGCTTCGGTCTTAAGGACTTAATCCTAAAATTCAGCCAATAGAGTTCAAATTTCGGTTAGAACTGGCAGCTTTATTGGTTGAATTTTAGGATCTTGGGATTAAGACCTGAAGCATAAACCAGGCATTAGTCAGTTCTTATATTCAAGACCGTCTTAAGTTCAGTCTTAAGATGTCACGAACCAATCAAATGGCTGCATTCGCGTCTTAAGACATTACTTAAGACAGTCTTCAAACAAGAACTGACTATGAATACCAGCCCTAGACAAAGCATTCACACGGTTTCCCCTAGAAATCGTGAAGTTGACATGGTTGACAGAGAAAGCATGTGACAAAGAGTCATCGTTGTGTATACTTCTCTCTTTTCAACCAATACTGTTAAGACAGCTTGAGTCAAGTGATCACCTATTTTTTCCACTTTATATGTATGCAATGTTGCAAATTAAATTTTAATTATAAATGTAATATTTTAATATATAATACTTTTTCTATTTTTTATGTATAAATTTTTTTCATATACACTATCGGAATAATATTTAATGTTACTAAAAAAATATCGCGTTTTTACATATCGTGCGTTACTTAATCTATCCAAGTAAATAATGTACACTATTTAATAATTGATTAACATTTATTCTTACACTTCATAATAATCACAAAAATATTCCTTTTTTTTTATAAAATATAGTATATATTTTATATTGAAGACATTATTTAGAATATTATATGCATTATGATAGAAATGTCATCAGGAGTTGACACCGTTGCTTTAGAGGAAAAGAGAGGAACATACACAACGATAGTTCTTTGTCGCACAGTTTCTCTGTCAACTAGTTAGCTTCATGTCAGATGATGTCAGATATCGAATGCTCGGTCTAGGTATATATTATTGCGTTCAGTAAAAAAATCAGCTTTGCAACTGTTGTAAAATTCATTGATATGATTGATCTTGCCGTTAGTTTCTCATTGAACCTAAATGATAAAATCATTTAAACCAATCATATTCAAGAATTTTACACCATTGCAACTGCTTTTTCTGCTGAACGCAGCCAATATTCTATATTGAATTCGGTCGACTTACACTAACACTGAATTCATGTTGCACTAAACTACATACGAGTGCAACACTACTAGACCGCGCTAGTACGACACACCACGCTGATTTCACAAATATCTATTTGTTATTATTATAACTAAAGATAATTTTACCGGTGTTACAGCTTTTAAAGTTAATTATTGAAATATTAAATTAAAAAAATAAGATTTTCGACTTACGCGCTTCTTCTTAGCGCGCCTTCTTCCTGCTAAATGAACCTAATGATTCAATTCTTAATCGAATGTATTCCTAAAAATTCCTAACGGCTGACGCATAACTTCATCGATACTGCGAAATCTATTGATCTTAGGAAATTTTGCCATAAGGAAAAGTTGTTGTACTGTTGTAGCACGCAATTCGGCACAACTGAAGAAAAATCCAAAAATGTTAAATTTTTATTTTCCACCACTACGTTTTCAACAATTTCTGTTGTCTTTCCTGCCATTTTAAACTTTGTATGAACGTACATTCTACGTAGATTTTGAATAGCACAACACAGCACAACTCGATTATCTTACACCGTTCGTAAGATACACGGTTTTGAGTTTTTCATTTCTAAAAATGTCTAAGGCCAGCGTACAATGTTTTTTGGAAAACGGTTTATATGTTATTGAGTTGCGGTTTGCGGCACAATGTGATGCAAACATAGCATAACACAGCACAATCAGAAAAACCTAAAATTCGAAAAGTGCGGGGTCAACTTCACACACGTACGTTTATTGTAACTTCTCTCTACATTCAGAATTCTTACATTGTCCTATTTGAAGTCATGACCAAATACAACCTATGCTCAGTGATAACTGAGTTGGCAGTCGTTTTTTTACGAATATGATTCAAGTGTTCTGATAATCTAGTTTTCAATTTTTTGCCTGTCTGGCCATATGATGCACTGCAATCTTTATGTTCAATTTTATAAACAACGCCACTCTTTGAAAGTTTTGGTAAAGGATCTTTATGTACTCTGATGAAATGTTTTATTTTGTTTAAACTATAGCAGATTTATAATAGATTATCAAGATTTTACAATATCTGTCTGTAACAAAATTTGTCCCTCGGGGACAAAGTTGCGCTTTCATTATCTCGCGTTCGATAAGCTGAGGTCAGAACTAGATGTACGTATAACATGTATATCGCTGTATAGTTGCAAGACTAAACATACTCCCTCTTCAATGACTACGTCGGTGGATAGATAGTAGATATCAAATATCGGTCTCTATCAGCGTTATCATTAGATTACCGTCATCAGCGTTACTGTCAGATTAGAGTCACGCCTTGAGACGTCGCGAATTCATTGTGCTGTTGCGACGCACACGGTCGCATACGCAACATCTTCAAAGTGTTTCTAAAAGAAAGTCTTGTTTATCGTGTGAGGATCGATGGTGTCAGTAGATGAGATATGCTAGTCTAAGTTACCGTTTCAAACGGAGATATAAGGACTGAGATCCGCGCGCGTTTGAAGCGTCGAAAATCGATAACGCAGCAAAATAAATAATTAGCGAGACGATGTTCAGTAACGCTGTGCAAGCGAAATTGGCATCGATGGTACTGATTGGCGTCGGCAGTTTCGTCGTCGGCATCGTGCCCGTCTGCTTTATTTCACGTACTCGTCAACTCCAACAAAAGCTGCTGCTTTCTTGTACCTTGTGCTTCGGCGCTGGCGTTCTCCTAGCCACCGCGATGCTTCACGTGCTACCGGAAGCACGCCAAGGTTTATCGGATTATTCCGAGCTGGTGTTCTGCTGTGGCTTTCTCGTGCTGTATTTAATCGAAGAATGTGTACATTATTTTTATTGGGACGAAAATCATGGGTCCGATTCGGATTCTCGTTCTTCCAGATTCGTAGATTCTAGGATCGTGCACGAGCGAGGGTAGGTACGTGCTGAAGGTGCTTCGTATCATTATTTAGCTTCTTTGAATACATTCACGTTTTTATTCTTTTAACTAAACATCTATATATGCGATCCTACATATACTATGATTATATAGGGGAGGGTATGCCGAATATACGTATTGGTCGTTTAAAATCGTATCTCATGAATATTTTATATTATTATATATATACTTAATATAGGCAACATTTAGTAACAGTAATATAGAATACATAAAAAATGAGTAATATATACAAAAATATAATATAATGGCTTACGTCTTGTTTTATGAACGGTATTTAAATTTAAAAAAATCAGGTACGTCTGATTAATTTTTAATTAACTTATGTTATAGCACGCTTTGTATTAGTTTTAAGTTAAAAAAAATTTTTTTTGTAATAAGCTATTGATATCGATAACTCGATGTACAGACAGCCTGAAATGCAAAATTGATGAGAATAAAGAATAATAATATAGATGTAATACGTATGCAAGTTGATTTAAATGGAATCATTTACGATTGTAATCAAAGATAATAATTTCATAGAGTATTTTTCAACTCTTTCTTAATTATTATTTAATTTGTTATAACTTCAGATAAAGTTTGAATAATCCAGTCAAAATTAGAAAGAAAAATTTCCTTTTAAAATTTTGAAACCTTTCGTCATTGGTAAAACTTGCACGAAAGATCTTTGTCTTCGAGATAAATTAATATAGATAGACTGTGGCAGATATAAAAGACTCCATAATGGTGATAAATGATACATTATTTTTAATTGCTTAGCTTTGTTTGGCCAAATGGAGTTTGTCAAATAAATTTTAAAATTAACAAACAGCAGCGACATGCTTCGTACAAAATGGTCTTCGAGTCGTACTCGAATGAGCTCTATCTTTGATATCTTTAAAAATATCTTCTATCAAGATGAAAAATGAACAAAGCAAACTTATACGTATATCGCATTAATGTCAACGAAGAATGATCACTCGAGCCATGGCTTATAGATATCAATATCAATTTGCAATGTTGCTTATTCTTAAGATTGACATTTAAACATCTTTCTATCCACAATAAGCGTCGAGATAGAATACACTTGAATTCGTGACCGAGGCAAGTTTTACATTAAGGATGTTTTGAACATATTTTTAATACGATAACAAAATTATGAAAAGATTATTAATTACAGATTATTCTAAATCACATTTAAAGATAATACGACAGTAATGATTTATATTGTTTGAATTATAAGTTATTTTAATAAATAGTAGTGTTTTTTTTAATTTGTGCTCTAATAATAATGTATAGAAATGTATTTATTTTATAAAATGAATGACGAAAATCTCAACTTTTTAATACAAGTAATTTTATGTATTTAAGATTTAAGTTTTTTTAAGCTTTACAACTTTTGTCTGAAACATTTTTTTCTAAAATGTATCGTTTATGAGATATTTGGGTGTATCCAGACTTTTGGCCTATCCTGCATTTACCTATGTATGAATTTTTACATGGATTTTGATTTTTTCCCTTTGATTGAATTATGTCTATCTTGAATTTCAGTTGTTCAAACTATCCAAATCATAGTGTTGGTTACAATGCCGCCTCGCAAAACAGCAAGATATATATATCCGAAGGTGATGTGAAATTACCGCTCAATTACCGACAAAATCCTTCTGATAATGGTGCCAATAATGCGTTGGCATTTACTAGCTATGGCACGGACGCGACGCGATGCAACACGTGTCGTTCAAGACCGTCAAACGAAGAAAATACATTTTTATGTCATGGAAACCATGACGAACAATGTACCAATGCCAATACTGGTCTCGTTGGTCTCGCTCTTGCTCTCACTATACATGCTGTTCTTGAAGGACTTGCGATAGGACTGCAGGCGAAAATCGCCGAGGTATGCTGCTAATTACTGTGCATTGTAATAAATAGTAATGAGGAAAGAGATAAATTGGAATTATGAGATAAAGGTATAGCGAGTATAGAGTAGTTACGATACAGGATTGTTTCCATATTTTTACATCGAATTGGCATAATTTTTAAAACATATAATTTTTAAATGTGTAATTTTAATTACAGAGAGAAAGAGAGGGAGGGAGGGGGAGAGGGAGAGAGAGAGAGAGAGAGAATAGAATATTATATGTATTATTTCTAGAACATATTATCTGGATTGTGTATACATATTTATGAAGCAAACTAAATAGTGCATATTATTTTAACAAGGCATCCTGTAACACTCTTATAAAGGATATCTTGCAAGATGCATTATGAGACGTTTATCATAATCTCAATTTTATCAGCAGATTTTCCGACAAATATGTAATGCATACGATAGTACGTAAATATGTTTTTTTTTCTTTTCCAGGTATTGTTGTTAACCGGAGCAGTAGCATCACATAAGTTTGTCGTCGGCTTCTGTTTGGGGCTGGAATTAACGGGAGGTAGTAAATCTGTTCCTAAATTAATATTTGCGATTTTTCTATTCGCCATTGGATCCGTCATCGGAATCGGCATTGGCATGTTAATGTTTCAGGTGAGAAAAGATTTATTTTTCGACAAGTCTTTATTTAAATATCGTTGGATAACGTCAATTCGAAAGAACTTTTACAATAGTGAATTCGATTGGATGCACTTAATACGCATTGGAGCATATTAAAGCCATTGTACACAAATCGATGCAAAACTGTGTATTTAATATAGGGGAGACCAGGGCACCAAGAGTTACAAAAATTCAAACAGTAAAGATACATTAAAATTGTAAGATTTTTGGTCTCAATTTTTTTATATAATTAAGGGATAATGTATATTTTAAGATTTATTGAGCATTTTTCATAAATATTGATTTGTTTTTTAAATAAAAATCGAAAAAGAAACTTTTAGAAATGACCCATGGTACCCCATGCCCGGGATACCCAGATTAAGGAGGCATATATGTTTATCGGTTTCAAAAAATCGATTTTTTTGTATTATGCATTTTTTGACAGTTTGAATGTTGTCTTAAAACCGTTTCTTGAAATTCCAATAAGTAAAGAAGTTACATCGCGTTTTGTCGAGCAATGCACATGCGTGCGCTTTCTGAAGCGGCGCGCAGATCGAACCCTTGTACAACGATTTCTTTTATCCTATTTACAATATAAATTATCTTTGAAATTAAAATGTATAATAGGTAATTTTTTAATAGATCATGCTGTTCTTCCAAACTGTTTTCAAGTCGTTCATTTACTTATGTATTTGATGTACGTATATTTGATTTTGGTTACGTGATATGGATATAATTATCGTTTCTAATAGTTTTTTTTTAACACGTGTCATGATGAATAGGCTTAAAAGTTCTCGAAAATCACAGCAAGAGAACAAATTTCGAAAAGATTTTATGCGCAAGCGAAAAATGCCGCCCAATAGGTGGCAAGCCGAAAATAAAACCGTGCGACAACCCCGAAAGTTCGGCGAAGAAACTGCAGAGACTCAGCGACGTACTTGTGCCCGAAGACAATTTTAATTATAGAATTTTGGACTCCAATTTGGTGTTTGTTGAAATTTCGCAATTTGTAAAATGCAAACAATGATAACGTTCAATGAAAGCACAATATCTTTATAAATAATGAGGAGACAATGGAAATGAGAATTGGACGAAACGCGGCTCAATTCGTAGCATAGAGCGACTCTCAGCGGTGTAACCAAGCGGAAATCCGGGCACAGCATTCGACGGAAGAAGTCCATATAAGTTATTGCCTCGCTAAAAATCAACAAATTGGAGGCAAAATCTCGAGCAGGAGGGTTCCCTGTGTGGTCCAGGAATTAATGATGACGAGTAAGTTGAATAAATTCAATTTTACAATAAAGTTGCTTGAAAACTTTAAATGCGTTTTTTTTCGAAACCATGTTTTTAAAGTCGGTTACAATGATAACTTGAAGACGAATCAACCGATTTGTCTTTTTTTTTTTACTGAAAACTTATAAAATTCACTTGTCGTATCATATTTTTAAAATTCTAATTCTTTCTATTTTTTTTAAATAAACAAAAATGAAATTTTTTGCCGAAAATCGGTACTCTAACTTTAAAGATAATTTTGTTTAAAATTTAAAATTTAAAAATTGGATACGACAACGACAAGAAAATTTACTCTTCTTTAAGATGTCGTTTAATTTTTGTGTTTTAGAACGGGCAAATATAACGGGTAAAGAGAAATTATTGTAACCATGGAATCATGTGGCGTGGACGGCTGAGTACACAACGGTGAAGGAGGACGATTTTCCAATAAAATCATTCAAATAAAATTAATATGAGAATTATAAAAGGTGTACTTATTATGCAAGAAATCCCATTTTTATAATTTATCTCTTGGCTTTGAAAAAAATTCCTTTTTTTGTGACTCCAAACGTATATATGCCCTCTTACACTATGAAAGCCTCTATACATTTTATTGTGTACTGTTAAGTATATTCTGTATTTTATAATCAGCAATATTTTGCAGTTTTTACTTTTATATAGAATAAGTCAGTGGACAATGGCTTTAATATACGCTCTAATGTGCATAAATATCTAATCGAATTCACTATAATTTTAACATTCATTTTGAATGAGCATAGGCGGATACAGATTGGTCCACGGTGATATTGCCAATTTTGCAAGGTCTGGCAGGCGGGACTTTGCTATATGTCACCGTAAGTGAAATTCTCCCGAGGGAAAGAACGCGATGGCACAAAAGTTCACGCAGATTTACGGGCATTTTACAATTTCTATCGGTAATCGTTGGATTTATCGTCATCTTTCTTCTTAATAACTACATAAAGGAGTGAATTAATTCTAATATCAAACTGGGTTGTTATACATAAATCGTAAATATTGTGAAGTAGAATTACTTCGGGCAATATATGTATTAGGTGTATACCTATGAAATACGGATTTTTTAAAGGAAAAACACATGTTAATCTTTTCAATCGCGTGCAAACGCTCGCTAACACTTTTTTGAGTACAACATTTCATACTTCCGTCATTTGTGATTGAGTTTGAGTGGAGTCTTCGTTCAACAATGCTTGCAACATTATATCTTCAAATTTTTTCGGTGATTTTCTCTTAATTTTGTCTTTCACATCAAAATCATCAGTTTTGAATCGATTGAACCAACGTTCATAAGTGTCTTGAGACGATACATGTTCGTCGTAAGCTTCTATAAGTATTCGATAAGTTTGAGCAGCAGTTTTCTTCAAAATGAAGTAATGAATCAAAACCTCCCGCAAATGGTCTGTTTTTGGTACGAAATTCGACATTTTCAAAGCAGAAAAGGATATGATATTTACACTCTCACAATTTTCCATATATATGGTTTTGTAAGTTAGGAATAGCCAAACAAAATACTATATATGTCAAATCACCACGCGTAAGAACGTATGTGTGGCGCCACTTGTTAGGAAAATCTGCATTGCATAAGTATACACCTAATATATGTTAATTGTCTGTATGATATATACTCAAATATGTGTTGCACTGTAATATTAGATATGTTGCTAATCAAGTAGCTGACATTTTTCTTCGAGCATTTGAAAATATAAAAACATTATGGAAGTATTAAGAATACAAAAGAATATCGAATTTTTATAACTGTACAGTTCCCATTGCGATGCTAATAGTTTAATACTTTAATGATTACATTGATTGTATATAATGTAAATAATATGTATAACTTTGTACGACAAGCTTTTAACAAAATTAAAATTACGACGAAAATATTGAACTTGTTAAACGCAATGATGACTTTCAGTTTTTTTATTTTTAAATATTACGTGTATAAATATATTCAACTGTGTGTTCACTTTGAACTGGCACCTTTTTTAATTAATAACATCTACGTTATTAATTTGATCAGACGAATTTGTAATGATGATCCATCCTATCTCATGTCTCTACAATACATTTGAGAACAGGAAAATCAATCCTAATTGTAATTGTTGTATCAACATGTTTTTATCGTAACATCACACATTATAAGAAAATATATCAATCCAACGACACAAACATTTGTAAGAATCGCTGAAGAAGAAGGACCTGTAAGTTCCGAAATGTACGATACTTTAGTTAATTTTATGTTCTCATTCATATTATAAAATTTTCGAACAACATTAAATTTATTTAGCTCAATATAGACAGTTTATTTTATTTTATTTGATTATTACTTATCTTATCAAAGTAAAACTTTCAAAGTTGAAAAATATGAAATTTTATTCAAATTGATTGAGAAAAAAATCGTTTCGACTTTTGGGTGATAAGGAATATTTAGCAGTACATTATTATAACGGACATTTAGTAAATGTGGCGTCACAATGCAACTTTTATAATTTTAGCATTATAATGAGACAACACATTTCCGTGGAAATATTTATCCAATTTCACGACAAAATCTTAATCAGAACGATTATATCTGAAGGTGTATACTCCTGCCGATATAAGCACATGAAGATTAGATCGTTATTAACGTATATCTAGAACGTGTCGCGATAAAAACTTTCTTGTCTTATTTATTGGAAAATTTAAAGTTGAGGGAGCATTAATTGACGTAATAGAGCTTCTTTCTTTCTTCGTCGGTCTGTATAAAATCGAAAACTTGGATGAAATTTTATGAGATTAGCCTACTTTTTCTCTGTCGTGCTTTATCAAATAGACGTAATTTCGACAAATGGACCTATTGTAGTTGCCGGCGGAAATAAAAGAACTCGGCTGCTCGATAGAATGGAAAAGATGCTTTTCAGGAAGCTTAGGGTATCGATTAATCTCTTTTTTCAATGTCAAAACTATTCTCTCGCGTTCTGTCACGGAGAACAATTAATCAGAGTTTATCATATCATAAATACCGCGCGTTGTGATGCTCTCCAGATTCTTGCATGTCCATCTATATAAAATACTATCGGAGAAGAGAAATGCTCGTCATCGGTCTTTGTTCGAGGCCATCTTAAATAGCATGCTCAGTTTTTTTTTTTTTTTTTTTTTGATATTTACAAGGCTCGAGAATGTAGATCGGGCGCTTTGTATTTGTAACGCTACGTCAAGTTCAGCGCGCATGCTGTCGCGTGAAACCGCCATCTTTGACTGTCACGGCGCCGTGCGTCGCGTTGCGTTGTATACCGCGTAGCGTCGCGTCGCGTCGCGGTCGTTTTGTCCGGTTTGTAGTCATGCGGTGATGTCGCTCCGCGTTCTGTGCAATTTTTATCCGTCAACAGTGATCGGTGCGTGTTGAATTAGTCGCGAAAGTGTCGATTAATGCGACGAGCGATTAAATTTATCGTCTCGATCGATCATTGCCGATCGTATCAAGTGCAAAGCAGATTTTATCATTATTTCAATACGCTTTGAAGAGAATATACAGTGTATTACGAGGTATAGAATTTGGTGGCTTCACCGTATTATAGGATAATCGTTAGCGATAAAATGGTTATCGTAAGATTAACAATATTCGTGTATATGCGCGCTGTAGAAAATATATAATTAAGAATATTTTTATTATGCAATGACAATAATATAACGTTTATTCGTTCATTCGCAAGCAATAATGTGATTATATGTCGTTGGTTTGCTATTTGATTTTTGATATGTAATGTATACGATTGGCTCGACTGCGTCAAGTACGACGCGCAAGTCGCGCAAAGCGCGCGCGAGAAAGAGAGTCCGCCATATTTTATAGTTCAAACTTCGGAGTTAAAGTGAATTTCTTGGGCTTTTTATTCGTCAGAAATGGATGATGTATCATGGCGTGCTAATAATAATCGTCAATGATTCCGAGTTGCGCGTCGCGTCGGATGAAGCGATTGTCTGCAGTAATAATTAGTATACGTATTTGTGATTCAGTCACATTTTCGTGTACCGCGGTTATTATTGTGCATACATGTGCTTGTACGTTTACATATTATAGAATTATGAATAAAGGGCATAAGAGTCAAAAATTAAAACTAATCTTACATGTCAATTTAAAAAGAAAAATGTTTATTACGAAGATAAAATAGAAGATTGATGTTCTTAACAATATCATATTATATTGTTAAGAACATCAATCTTCTATTTTATCTTCGTAATAAAAATGCTTTTTTTTTTTTTAAATTGACATATAAGATTAGTTTTAATTTTTGACTCTTATGCCCTTTATTCATTTTTAAATTTATTTATTAACAAGAGTCCTTTATACATAATTTTATAGAATTGTGTCAAATGTCTCCCGCACATGTATAGAATTATTTATTTGTCCCGCGTGCATGATATCTATGTTGTCGTATTGCAAGTCGAGCATTCCAATATTGCTATTACGGTTTCGCAAATAAACGCGCTTTGTTTAAGCTTCCAATCGTGAACGCTCCGCATGAATTTGAATAAACTTGGCTGGTTCACCTATAAAAAGACGGATAACTTTACTTTCCATATACTTTATTTTTACCACATTTCGAAAATTATTTCAACATGTGAGTGTATTACAAAAATACTTAAATTTTCAAGAATCTTGCATTTCGAAAGAAACCACATAAAAATGCATTTAGTTAAACTGCATCAATAATTTGTATATAAAATTATTTTAATATTATATATAGGGGAGAATGTCCTAAATCGGATCTTTTTAATTTAAATAAATACGGTTAAGCAGATTTGCGTGCTATTTATAATGTAAAGTCCTTATAAGACACCGAATATATGTGATAGTAGTTCGGCAATACTCTGTTATAACGTTCATAAAATAGACGCAAATCACGGTAAGGTGGAGCATCTAAAACGTATAAAACGTCGAGTGTAAAACATATCGTTGCATCGTAAAAGACAGTAAAAGTGACGAGTCTTAAAAGTAACTTCTTCGCGACATTTCTTTTTCGTCTCTCAAACTTTTACGTATGCATGACAGAAGCGTTGCTATGCACGATTGTAATTAATCACGTGTTTCTTTCTCCGGGTACTTGTATTCGAATCGTGTGAGTGTTAAACGAATGGAGGAGACTAATCGATGCCAGAAATCACCTAGGAGTTGGCGCCGATGGAACAGTTGGCGAATTTGGCCAGGCGGCAGCGCCGGTGTGGCAGCTGGTGAGTAAACGCCATTGTATTTATCATGTATTTATTTTGTTTTTGATATTTATTTTTACTTTTATCTCACATCAACGACATCTTAATTCCGATGTTTGAAACGTTGAAAGAGGCGAGTTGCAGGGTGATTCATATTTTACTTTCTCTTTCTCACGAATGCTTATTTGAGCTTTTTTCAGGAAAAGAAAATAACCAGATTTTCCGATAAAAGTCTCTTTTACGAAACATACATACAAGCTATATACAAACTGTATTATGCTTTTCGATGGGATAATTAAAAGCCGATTAAAGCTTGTGACGTCAATGAGTTTAGTTTCGGATTTGAAAGAAATTTGATAGAAGCTTTTGCTAAAGTTAATACACTGTAAAAAATAAAATGTTAATTTTAACTCAAAGATGTTGAGTGGATTTTCTGAGATAAAAATGTTAACATTAACACAAAAATGTTAATTTTAACATTTTTGCATGTCTCAGAAAATCCACTCAACGTCTTTGAGTTAAAATTAACATTTTATTTTTTACAGTGTATTGTTGTCTTGTGCTTGCTTTATTATTTTAACAGTTTTTATAGATATTAAAAATGTTTATTGTTATGATGCCATTTAACTTATTTTTAATTTTATTGTTATTTTATCACGTCTCGTGTAGAAACAAAATATTGATTTTATACGTAACGCTCGGAACTCCGAATTATTAATGTGAAATAAAGTACAATGTTTATATATATATATATATTGCTGTCTGC